CCGACCTGGAACCGATAATGTTTCGGTTCTCCAAATAAAAATTTGAACCAACCCGAACACGACCAGAGTAAGCAAATGCTCACCCCTACCCCCAAACTTTTTTGAGAGTAAGAGAATTTTTTTTTTAGGGTTTAATTGTTTATATCCAAATCGATTAGGGGAAAATCTAACAGCATTTTCTTTTCGTTAACGGATGTTAACCTCGGTTAAGTGTAAAACCTTCATATTTCGATACTTTGTGTATTAAATGAACAGTTTTATTCAATTGATTGAAGTTTTGTTGGAGATCCATAGAAGTCCGTGTATTTTTCTCGTAGAAATAATTTAATTGAAGTATTTTCATGGTTTTTTCCCAATTGAGTATTTAAGTAATGTTCTTCTTACATACCCCTTGGTTCTCTAACTTGCACAAAACCCTCATTGATGGATGACTAGATGTTAGTGATTTCTATGGTTTAGTAACTTAAATTGAGCAAAAGCAAAAAAGAATTTTAACTAGTCAAACTTTTAATCATCGTATATATAATAGTCGAGTTTCCTTCACAAGGGTCTACAACATCAGCTTTTCCTTCCCTGACACGTCACCACTAAAAAGTTAAAAAAAACAAAAATTAGAAAAACATAGATTTGATATTTTGCATTTGTTTCAAGCGTCTCGAGATCTCTATACACATAAATATTCCCTTAAATCCAAGCAACAACAATTTATCTTTGACTGAATCATCGTTACTTGCAACATGAAGGCAAAAGAACTTTTTCATATTCCATCGATATATTAGCAATCAAAAGTACTTAAAGTGAGAAAGAAAAGAGGAATAGCACAGACAAGACAAATTTCTGAGCTCTATCTTATTCACCGGAGAACGAAAATCGATTCATGTGAGGTTATATCGGTCACCGGTAAGTATCGGATCTATGTTTCTCTTCCTAAGATATGAACGAAAATCTGTGCTATATATGTGAATGTTGAAATACCCCCAATCGGAGACATGTAAATCAAACGCCACGAGAGAATTGTTACATCCATGGGTATAATTGATTGGATAGCCAAGTCGAGAATCTTGAGGTATACATTATGTTAACTTTATTTTTGTCATCAATCCATATTGATATTTTTCGTTGATGTTCTTTGGTAACAATTTTATTTTCTACATGGTTAGATCACTTAGATGACTTTTAGATAATGGTCTTTGTTGAATCACAAAGACATAGGTTTTTGCTTCTTTTAGGATCTAATTGGAGGTATGCCATATATATTATAGAAGACTTAAAAAAGAGGAATCATCTCCACGATGGGAGGAGATTAAGGAGAGGTGGTGGAAGTATGGGTAGAGTGATTGATGAGGGAACTTCAAAACATTGTGGTGGTGTATGTTGTCCATGTGCATGCTAACATCAATTACCATCTCAGTCTAAAAAGAAACATAGAGTGTTATCAGAATTGTGTTAAAATGTCAAAATATAAAAAGGAAGACAGAGGAGGAGAGATGAGTTTGATAAGTGTTATAGTGATTGGTGGCAGAGGGTTGTCACCTTTGAGCTTTTCAAGCCAAAGGGGAAAAGCTTATATGTA